ATAGATGGTAAGTGGTAATACATGGTAATAATATATAGATGGTAAGTGGTAATACATGATGGTAATATATAGATGGTAAGTGGTAATACATGGTAATAATATATAGATGGTAAGTGGTAATACATGATGGTAATATATAGAGTGGTAATACATGGTAATAATATATAGATGGTAAGTGGTAATACACGGTAGTAATATATAGATGGTAAGTGGTAATACATGGTAGTAATATATAGATGGTAAGTGATAATACATGGTAGTAATATATAGATGGTAAGTGGTAATATATGGTAGTAATATATAGATGGTAAGTGGTAAGTGTAAGTAAGTGTAGAATAAGATATAGATGATAGGTGGTAACGAAAAATATAGGTGATATATGGTAGCAAGCATGTGCTGTGTGGTAGTGAGACATATTATGGTACATGATAGTAAGAATCTAAGATGTATGTTACACGTGGTAGTGTGGTGTACAAGATATGTAGTATGAACATGATATATGGTAGCAAGAAGAACACGTGGCAGTAAGATTTATATATAATATGGACCGATATGTGGTAGTAAAATGTATGTCATGCAGTATAAGCTGTAAGTGAAATATACATGTGGATATGCTATTAGCACACAACCACATACAAATACAGATATACAGAGACTTGCACACACATGCATGTGTACACAGGCACGTGTGTACCTAGATGTGGGATATATATTCTAAGCTGCTAGGTCAAGGTGGCGTGGCCAATACAATGTCACCATACGAGGTAACGTGATGCTATACAAGGTTGCAAGCCGAATTATACGTATGTTGCCTAGGTTATTAGCCCGACCTAGAAAATAAATTAAATACAAAAAAAAATTTAAAAAAGGATTTTTAAGATTGTTGCCCAAAAATCGAAACAATCACTGCTCCATGGCACCGACTGCACATCGCACAACTGTGACGTCCGTCACCTACACAGCTGGAGCCTTACCGATGTTTCGTAGCCTGTGAGGAAACCAAGTTTCTCTGACCAGTGCCTGATGCCTTCCTTGTCCTGGTAGGTGGCTGCCTTGATCACCCGCATGTAATCATCTACAAATCTTTTGTCAAAGTCTCTACATGCTCCGAAATCGAGCAGGCAGATCTGCAACAGATCGGGAGTATAACCATACAGACACGGGGAATGCAGGACGACTGTGCATGCCAATGTCACCGCATGTTAAACGTTGTTTTCCTAAGGTTACAATGTACAAACCCCTAATTATGCAACTCCTGATTTTGCGAGCCCATGTTCTGTGATAATTTACATTTTACTCTCTAGAAGCATTTTTTCATTTCTATGACGAGACAATTTTGACTTTCACGATATTGCTGATAGAATTTTATTTCTTTTATATGCAAATTAATTTAAACGACAAAAGTCGAGCACGTTTAAATATCATTGTAACACTCCTGGCACGTGCACATGCAAAAATCCATAGGATTTCTTCAGATAGTTAAGGCGAAGTAGTGCATTTTGCATAAAATCACCTTATTTGTATCAGCATTGTAGAAGAAGTTTGACCAGTTTGGATCCGTTTGCATGAATCTAAACTCAAACAGTTCCTTCAGGCACAGTCTCAGAATGTTTTCACAGATCTGTAAGCAAAGGCATAAGTTTACACCCGACTTGTATGATAATAGTCATCGTGATATAAATCTTCATCAATGATAGAACGTTTGATGAAGAACCGACAAAGCTTGCTTTACATTTAGCTTGGTCAGCAACAGCTTAACAAAGCCTTAATCCTTCAACACCTATTTCCACTGTTATTATATTTTCATTTTATCTGTCATATAGCATAATTCTGTTTCAGCCCTCCCTTTCCATATTATACCTTTTATCACCACCCACCATTACCGTTTTACCCGTTGCTTTACCAGGATTCTGCTTCTCTCACTCACCATGTATCGGGTGTCTTCGTCAGCGTCTGCCACCTTATCCACGGCTTCACCGTAGATGAGCTCTTGCGTTAGCACCTGCTGCGTCGTCAACGCATCGATCACCTCAGGAACGTGGAACACCGTATCGTTCTTCATCAGCTCCCTGCAAAGAGTGGAGCCGGCTAAACTATCCTGCTCGCCAATGAGAACCGACCCGACGATAAAAACACGTGAACATTTGGCGAGAACGATCGGAGACGGTTGGCAGTCGATAGCAGACGTGTGCTGTTATGCAGTAAAAAACATTTTGTTCTCAATCGAAAATCAGCTGCGTGCGGAGGCCGAAAATGGAAAAAAAGTTCGATTGCGACAACCAACCTTGAGATCACATACGTTTGATATTCACGATAAACGTTTTGTTTTGATGTCAGAAAATCGGTCGTTTGTGGTGGCGGAACACACAAACAAGGATTGCGAAAGTTTTTCTTCATTAATCAATAAGTATGCATCAAGTGATCATGGGACATTCAAAATTGTAACACACTCCAAAAGTATGTGGCCAGAGAATAATGAAAAACTATAAAATAATATTGATCGCTTTGTGGGAGTCTTGTATGCAGTCACATTCGCCTTTATTCTGACAGATTATGTAAACTACCCCTTAATACTAATAATAGTAATATTGGCGTGGAGCTTGATATCCTGGGTAATTAATGTTTATTTTAACTTTTGTTACACTGTCCTAGCTGTAGACGACAACAACAAAAATATTAAAAAATTGCCGTGCGTGATGAACGAAGGAAGACCCAACCTAAAACAAATGTTCTTGTTGCATCACAACAAGTTGGTCATGTGCGCTTAGTTGTAAAGTCCATTACCTGATGTGATGAACGAAGGAAGACCCAACCTAAAACAAATGTTCTTGTTGCATCACAACAAGTTGGTCATGTGCGCTTAGTTGTAAAGTCCATTACCTGAAACGCTTGCAGTTGTTAGCCTCGCGAATGTAGTCCACCTCCCAAGCTAGCTCCTTACGAGCGACCAACACAGCGTTGTCCACGTACAGGCCTTTAGGCAAGATGTTGGCAAGAGTTAGTACCGACATCAGGTTGTCTATGTCGCTGTCGATGCTAAGGCCTATCCCAGGATACTAAAACATCAATGAAAAGACAACATGTTATCCATGCTTTGATGGAAGTTTCTTCTTCTTCTTTCTATATATTCTTTTAATTTCCTTTCTTTCTTATTTATCTTCTTTTCGAGTCGAGTACATGACTCACAGGTTGCATGGTCTCACATCCCTGCAAATAGCCTTACTCGTTTCCTCAAAAACATTAGATGCTACCATGCCTGGATTTGCAGAATAGGCTTAAAGCTAGACCTGGGATTACTTTCAAGCTTCCCTATTACTATGAGATATGATTCACGCTAAACAAATACGAAATATACATGTGTAAATGTATTTGCTTTGGCAGTCACCACACCTGTATCTTCATTGCAACCTCCCTGCCATCATGAAGTGTTGCCAAGTGAACCTGTCCTATAGAAGCTGCCGCAAACGGTCTAGTCTCGAACGATTTCAGCTTCGTAGCCCAGTCTGTTCCGAGTTCTTTCGTCAGCACTTTCTATACAAATCAACCCAAACACGGTTTTTTTTCTCTTTATAAACACAACTGTTGAAAACGTGTTATAATTGCACAGTACAACAAATCGGTTATTTTACCATGAAATTTAACAGAATTCTCATGCATATGTTTAGACAAGTTCAAATACATCTTATCCTACTGAGAGTTTAGAAAATAAATCAGATCGAGCTGAAGACTGATTCCACTGTGGTACCTTCATCTGCCATTCTGGCATAAAGTCTGCTCCCTGTCTCACTCTGGCAAATATTGTTTGCAGTTGAGGGCTGATGAAGACATTATCTGCAACATGACATACATGATCTGCTATACGACTCACACATGTTATGAGACATATCTGCTATATAACTCATCTGATATATGAGATATATACTCATGTGACCTCTAACATGAGATACAGCTGCTATGCGCAACATGAAACAACATACGAGAACAAACATGACATGCAAGTAAAAGCAGTTGCTATGTTTTACAACTAAAACGATACACAGATGCACTGTATTTGGGGTATAGGTAGGTTAGATATCTAGCAGTTTGGTATTTTGGACAGAGAGGAGAGAGCGAGGAGCTGTCGGTACCTTGGATGCTGAGCATCTGTCCAAGCTTCAGAGCCGCTCCCCTCACCTTGCAGAGTGTGGCGACAATGCGCTCAGCATTTGCCTCCGATAGGAAGGGGCTACTGCCAAAAATAGCTCCTGTGCTGGGTGCGCCTGCAAAATGTCCCCATCACATCTCTCCTTAACTATATGTGCTAACACGTTCAAGCCCCTGTATGATTTTTCCTCTTTTCATGTCATGTTCTCTTTGCATGTGTCATGCGTGCGTGCATGAACCACTATAGACCTGGCTGATAATGATTCGTGGAAACTAATACTAGCCAAGTCTAGGTTTGATGCTTTGGGTGCAATTATAACCATGGGAAATATTATAACTGTCATATATGATCAAATCGTAGATGTGAAGACTTATGGAATTGATCACTGGCAGTGGACACACCTCTCAAATATGTTTAGCTACCCCTTACATTCACTCTTCCTACAGTCAGATATTTACAAATTGTATTAACTAAGGTATTGAGGTACTGAGGTATTGAGGTATTGAGGTATTGAGGTATTGAGGTTCTAAAGGCCACCGCACACCAGCCGATTTTTACAAACGATGAAGCGATGAAGCGATGAAGCGATGAAGCGATGAAGCGATGAAACGATGTAGGTGTGCGCGTTCATTTGTAGACGATTTTATTTTTATCGGGTGATCGTTCCAAAATCAAACATGTTTGATTTTGAACCGATTATTTGGACGCGATTTTGTGGTGTGCGCGTGACCTTGAAGATTGAACAGCGTGTGCGAGTGGCTGTGTAAATTTCCACACTCAATTCGCATTGTTCGCTTGATTGTTCGCTTGGACGCATTGTATTTTTTTCTCAGCTCGCATATTCAGGCCGCCGCACACCTACATCGCTTCATCGCTTCATCGCTTCATCGCTTCATCGTTTGTAAAAATCGGCTGGTGTGCGGTGGCCTTAAGGTAACATGTAAATATAAAATCACTACAAACGGATTAATACACGTTCAACGAGTAATATAAACTTTCATGGTGCATAAAATTAACATAGGAAATGCAAACATAAATAATAAATTGCCAAGAAAATGAATTTTACCCTGCGATAAACCAAGTGATCTTCGTGTGACCTCTGCAATAGCACCAGCACTTAGACCCACAGCCAAACCTGGTATAGATTAAAAAATAGCAACAAATTTAAACATGTCCACACACCTATGTGTGCAGGATAACCCATACAATGTCACTCACATCTGTCTATAAATCTCTTCATTATATACAAAACAATAGCTAGTATCATAACGTTTTTTCCAATTTTAGATATCTATGGGTCGTATCTAGAACAGGATGGTCCCACATGCAGGGTAAAAAAAAGGCTCAAAATAGCTCCCGTAGAATTGTTGACGAGAGCTATTTTTTCCACAGACCTTTGAAAAAGAGCTCCTGTGAAAAAAAAGAAATTTTTTCCCTGCCTACAAGCATGCTCTTCTGTAAGAGCAGTGCACCGTTACAACCAGAATATGCCCTATCGTAATCTAAAGCCTAGCGCAGACCTGCGATTTTTGGTTGCTCGTCGCTGCAACCTGCAACCGCAAGCGATCGGTCGATGTGTCACCGCGTGTGCGCATACATGCGATTTCGAAGCAATTCTAGAGCAATTTTGGAGCGATTGGGAGTGGCGAGTCGCTCAAAATCAAAACAGTTTGATTTCTTGCAACTCGTCACAAGCGATCGGAATCGCTATGGGTTGCTGTTGCACGTTCCCGCAGACGTAGCAATTTCACAGCAATTTTTACAGCGATTCAAGAATCGCTGTCGAGTTGCATGTAAAAGTCGCAGGTCTGTGATAGGCTTAATGAATGCCACAGAGAAGAGTGCAACGTACCACCGTAACTTGCAAGCCTTTCTATTCTGGAATCAGGAACTTTTTTCTCTCGAGAGCGTGGCCCTAACTAGAAAGATCATTATTAAAGTTACGATGTAATAGAAACAGGTACGAAACTAAATTTTCACTAATGAATTAAAAAAATATAATAAAGGAAAGCACAGTTCTACTCATTACAAAGACGAAATTACTTTACTAACAATAACAAAGATTTCACGACTTCTAGTCAGTGAACTAGGAGCTTACCACTTGTTTTGGTTTTAATATCATTTTTGGCTTCGGCGGCCCACTTGACTGCGTGCGACGTACACTGTGTAGATCGAGCTGGGTGCGGGTAGTCACCGCAAAATGCTGGCGACAGTAATAATGTAACGAACGCTTGCCGCCGGAAGCAAACGGGTCGTCCATCTTGCCAGCTCCCATGCCTGGCTGATCATTGTCTCTGTCGTCTCGTCTGACATCGTCCCTGTCACCGTCAGCACTACTGCTGTCGCCCGCCTCGTTAACAACATTCGTCCTGTCAAACTCCTCCGCACCGGGCGCCCGCGGCGACTCGCTGTCGAACTCGTGCTGCGGCCTCTGACCTGTGACGTCACGCGAGGTGAACTGACTGACGAGTTGTCTCGCGGCTTCCGCTATATTGCTCGCCCCGCGGGCTGCCCTCCTCATCGAATCCTGGAACACATGATACAAGTGTTACAGTAGTCAGTTATCACGATACGGGTTATACAAGCTGTGCTGCTACACTTACTGCAGCTACATGGACTTGCACCACTATACATCATTGTTAACACCTATCATGTGTGAGTTTGTGACCAATTTCCTTTATGGTCCATAGTAGATTTCACCTGATCTGTTTCATAAAATGAATCAGCTATGTTTAGGTAGCAGCCACCTATGTGCACTCTGTAATAGGAAAATGTATAAACCAGGGAAATATAATAAGGGGTCCGTGAACCAGGCGCATGCAAAATTTTGTATTTGTGTGCTTATGTACATTTTTATGGAAAGGGGTCCATAGCTTTCACCGCATTCTCAAAGGGGTCCATAATAACTCAAACAAGAGCCGCAGAGCATCTGGGCTCATCTGAGGTCTGTTGCTACGATTATAAACGTAAAATTTCAGTCGTGCGT